AATCTATCTTTGTTTACCAATATTCAAAAACATTTTTCCATGCTCCACTTCATATTAACTACAAATATACATTTTACAAGCTTGAATATTTGGGACAATAGGACTCTTTAAAATTCCTATATAGGCATATTAAGCATGCGTATTGACAGTTATTAAAAGCTACTTGATTTAATGATTAACTACAGAGATCCTAACAAGCCATAAGCCAGTCACTTTGGTGAGTGGACTGTATGAGTGTCGTGCGGCCTCTCAAAGCCACTCTTAAATATCCTCACTGAAACTGTTACTGCCTAATGTGCTACATTTTAAAGCCAAATTGGGATTTCACTCCTTTTCTGCCAAACTAACTAGAGAGAATGCTTCCTATAGCAAGTCACAAACTTAACTGCAAACCCATTCCTAAAGTAACATCTTATTTGGGAATATGTGGCTATAAATTCCAGAAAATTTCTGGTTTTGAAAGGTTTTTGTTTTGTTTTGTTTTGTTAACTACCCTTCAGAGATTAAGTATCATATACAAAACTAAGAATTACGATGAACAGTAAATTTGTAAATATTAGAATAGAATTAGGAAAGGTATAATTCATCCCTTTCCAAAAAAAAATCATTGATTTCTTTCAAAGGCTGGAATATTTTAGGAAAAAAATATTTTATATGCTCAAATTATCTGGATAATTCTACAATTTATCGTAAGCAGATAATAAAGTATTTGAACTTGGGAAAAATTATTTTCATGCCTTTATTTCCAAGATCTCACCCTTTCTCAACACAAAGCTTCTTTCACAAGAAATTACTAAGTTAATTAGTAGAGTTTTAAAAAAAGGAGTTGGTTTGCAAAAACGCTGAAAGTTTAATTTCTAAAGTGTCTCTGAAAATGAATTGATATTTCTAAAAAATGTTTAGTGTCATCAGTAAGATCTGACTGTTTGGCTATCCTTTTATAATGTTAAGCAAGTCTGAGCAGGGATAGGAGGTCTACAAACAGAAAATATTTCTTTTTATAGAACTATGGTGATTCGGTCAAAAAGTAAGTAGTTCTAGTCTTAGACCGAAGGATCACACACAACGATGTTTTGCCATGCTTCTGTAGGCAAAAGGTAGAAATTTTTTAACATAAGGAACAAAATCCTGTTTGTGTGATAAACTTGGACTCAAGCCAAAATGAAATTCCTAAAAGCTATTTGCTTTTTTAAAATACAATTATTTATTTTTAAAGATATTACCTTTAACATTTTAAAGGCAAAAAGACTTTAATGTGGATGGACCTTTTCTGTCCCGCATTTCAAAATTCATACTTGCTTCATTCACTGTACCTTACAGCAATTTCAAACAATGCAACGAATACTTATAAAAATTTAGATCATTATCTACAGATTAAATTTTTAAATTACCTGAGTTTCCTATCCAGAGGCATGCACAAGTTTCTCTCTTTCAATTAGAAATCAAAGACCATTTTAGGATTTATAGGAATAAAATGTCTTACAATATAAGAAATTCTGAGATCTTAAGACCTATTTTTTTAAAAAAAACAGAAACAATGAGAATTATTAAATCAAATTTTTATATAGTTTGTGTTTTACATATAAACATGGAAGTTCAGGATTTTTAAAGTAGTCATTCCTTAGATTAAAAAAAATTTTACTCGACAGTTGGTAGTTCAAAACAAAAGATTTGGGAAAGTGAGTTCCGTCAGTATGTGAGCCATTATATACTTGTAATGTTCACCTTTTTCTCACCCTCCAAAAATCTGTTTGTAGATATTCATGACAAGTCTATTAAAGAAAAACTCCACTTGATTCACCCATTAATCTGATAGCATAATTAACTAGAGGACATCCAAAACCAGGATCCTTAACATTTCCTGCTTCTCCAATATCCCCCAGAGTACAGCTAGCACCAGTGCTGAGCCCACAAAGATCCAGGGCATAATTGATTACCTGAAAGAAACAGATGTTTTCAAAAGTAAGTGAAACCACATTTTACAAATATACTTATGCATCAGGCCAGATGTCAAAGAAGGAATCCATTCTAATGGTTTCCAACACGATTGTGCAACAAATTTTCTTAAGTTTATCAAACTGATTCCTGTATCTCACTTATCAAATGTGGCAATTTGTATAATATTCTGTTCTAGTTTTGCAATGTTTTAAGAAGTTATTTTCAAATCACGCTTTGATGAGTATATCTGGTTAAGCTTGTTAAGGTAGTACTCGCTTGAAATTAGATGACCAGGGGAACTGAATATGTGAACTCAGTACCTTCAGGATGCTCTAAGTTACTCTGACCACTTACTACAGGAAAATCGAGTGTCAATGTCTTTTTTAAGTCTGTAATTGCTCAAGAAATTATTTTGCAGAGTCCAAATGTATATTCCCCTTTCATGTGAAATGTTTGCCTGGTTAAAACCAAGTGTAAGTTGCATACATATTTTCAATAAAAAGGGAAAATGTAGGATTCCCAATTGTAAATTTCCAATTGTGTTTTACAACAAAATCTTTGTGGATTCCTATTCCAAAGCCGTCAGGGAGCTTATAAACGGGATTCATATTCAAGTCTCAGATCTTACTCCACTTCTACAGAGATTAAGAATATTACCCTTACTATACATCATTTAACATAAATGCAACAGTAGTACTAAGTATTTTAATATGCATTTTTAGGATTGGAAGTTACAGACTTCAGGATTTACAAAATCTCCCTGGTCAGTGCCTAGCCCTAGGTGCAATTTAGGGCCACTTGTGACAATTCCTCTGCAGTCCCATCCAAATACGTGAGGGTTCTGTTAATTCCCTAGGTCAACCAGCAATGTTTCTCACCCTGACATATACCCAACAAGACAGGCCTGAAATTGGGACAATCACATAAGGTAAGGAAGTGTTATTTTAATGTCACATACATTTAAATAATTTTAAAATTTTAAATTTGTGAATTAAAACCTGGAACTGTTTAAGTTCTCCCAGCAACAAAAAGGATGCACATAGCTAATCTTGAACAACTGAGTGCCTGCTAATTCAATTGCCTACAAATCCACTCATTAGCCAAGCAGTCTTCCAAATTAAGACATCCGGTCTCCCTTCAATTTTCCACTTAAACCAGAACACAGAGTAGATTTGACCAATCAACTTAGGATAAAATTACACATGAAAAGTGACTTTACGTTGCATGGATTAGTAGTTGGACAGCCTGTCGTAAAAACCCTGTGCTGCCACTTGAAGTTTCACGGATTCACAAGTTTCTGGGGAATTACCTCAATATTCTTATTGAGACCAAAGAAAATGGGTCATATTTTTTAAATGTGCATTTAAATTAGAATGTTTGCTCATTTCCATTTGGGTAACCTAACGCACATTAATAATTTCATAAACTCTGAATAGAACTGATGTTAAAAGAGACCGTGTACTATACATACTTAGACTCTACCTAGTACGTGATCATAATACAAAACACACACACATACACACACACACACACACGGGAAATTCTCAGTTCATATAATTTATTGCAGTTAGCACACAGTTTAAAAATTCACCAACACACCAATAGTACAAAACTAAACAGCATTATAAGTTATTCCCCCCTCAGGAAAATAAAACATACTATGATTGTCAAAGCTAGATGTCAGTCTAAGTTTTAGAACAGAGGAAGAATGGGAAACTAAGAAAAGGAAGAAGCAATCACTCACAATGACCACAAAAAGAAAATCCAAAAGAAAGTCCGTTTTTCTCACAGACATTGATTGTCTTCTCTAAATTAATAAAAATTACTTTAACATAAACTGTATTTAAAAAAACTAGAAACTCTTCAAGTAACTAAAGATAATGCTCCAAGGCCATTTTCACAGCTTTTTTTGTTTGTTTGCTTTAAATGCCATTACAGCCAAATTAACACACATTTGACCAAATATTTCCAAAACAGTCCAGCAACACACAATGGAGTTTTCCATTCAGTATCTTAAGCACAAAAATAGGCTATGTTTACAGTAGTTAAGGCGATCAAATTTTAAACAAAAGCAATTAAAAAAAAAAAAAGGGAAAAACAGCAAACGTTTTCCATGCTACTCCCATAGACCTTATTTGTAAGTGCAAGACAGGAAAACAAACACTGTGCAAAATGCTTTTGCCCTGTGTGCTGGTCATTCAAACCACACGTTGGGCTGCAGCCTCTGCTGCCGATACTCATAGTCTACTAACCCCGTCCCCATGTCAATCAAGGCAGTCCAGTCCTTTCAGCCTGGGGCTTTTTTCAGTCCATAGAATCTTTTCATGAGTTGGGGTGGGGGGACAGAAAGAAAGGGGTTGCAAAAAAAAAAGGAGAGAATGACCTATTGTCAATTTGTGCAGTAGTTATTCTAAAAATGCTCAACTGGGTAAATGTGTACACCTAAACTTTGAGCTGGCATGGGTTTTGTGCAATTAGAAGTTTGTTATAAATGCACACTGCACATGCAAATCTTTAAGCC